AAAAAAAGAAACTTAATTTTTTATCTTTATTCTTTTCATTTTCTTTTCGAAAAAATTAAATATACATGAGCACATCAATAGCATTTACTACTTTAAATCTAAATAACTATGATCGAATTAAAATTTTAATCCAGTATAATTCATTCAAATTACAATTTTATCAGTTCCATGAAATGTTTCATCTTCTAACAAATCAGAATTGAATTTCTCTTAATTCTTTCCATATTTTAAATTGTAAAATATTAAAGTAAACATTTATTTAATTTATTACCGATACAATAAAATTTCGATTTTTCCTTTCTCAAATCAGTGATGATGATAATGAATGCATTCATATAAATGATCTTGAATAATTAACCCGACGAAATTGCACTGGCTGATGAGTAAAGCAGGGGAGAAAAAAAATACAGTATGGCATAAAACAAAAAGTTTTTCATTTTAAAAATCATTATTTCAACAATTCCATTGTTACTGATAAACATAATCATACATCATTAATCAATTTTACGCTTAAATAACAAAGCACATAAATAGCCACAGTATAAATTAACTAATTTAAAATTTAAAAAAAAAAAATCATTTTTCAATGGAAACTTGTCACACTATGATAGGAAATCTACTACAGTATTATAATTTATTTTTGTGATAGTACCGGAAATTTGCAATAAATTGGCAATCTTTTTTCTTTCTTTTCAAAAAAATTCCGGAAAAAAAAATAAAAAAAAATTTTTTACCTTTAAACATCTGTATTGAGATTAATAATGAGAAATGTATAGCGAGTGGCAATTTTTTATTATTTCCTGAATTCAACTTTTTTTTTTTTTTTTTGATAAAAGAAAAACCTTTGCAATGTTCCAATTTCATTAATGGAAATATTTTTTTAAAACCTAAAAAAATCAGACATTTACAATTTTATAAATAATAAATTTTGAATGAATTTTGACAATTTTAGAAAAATCACCCATTTAAACAAAACTTTACTAAGGTAAGTATAATAAATTTAAAAAAAAAAAAACTTTTCATCTCGTTTTTTTTCTCCAAAGATAATCTCATCAACATTTAAATATTAAGCATGATAAAAGTTGATTAGCTCATTTTGCTTTTGGTCTTCTACTCTTTTTTTTCAATGAAATTTAACGATTACATTTACTTCATTGTTAAGTTCTAAAATTTCAAAATTTAACTTTTTTTATTGGAATTATTATTAATATTACAGAATGAAAATTATTAGCCCCAGCTGTGATAAAAATCAATGGGAGTTTAGTTTTTAGTTGGTTGAAAAATATTATTGTTATTCGTAAATTTTTAATCATTGAAATATTTCCCGATGAAAATGATTACCATCATCATCATTATCATCGTCAATCAATCAATCAATCACCATCATCATCATCATCATC